CTGATATCCAATTATCAGTGTCATGCTTGTTTTTCTGGGTTGTCTCAGGATGATTTTTTCTAGTTCCATTCATTTGCCTTCAGATGTTATGATACCATTGTTTTTTTACTGCTGAGTAATACTCCCCTGTGTAAACGCACCACATTTTCTTTATCCATTCTTTGGTTGAGGGCCATCTAGGCTGCTTCCAGGTTCTGGCTATTTTGAATAAAGCCGCCATGAACATAGTTGAGCAAGTGTCCCTGTGGTAGGATGGAGCATCCTTTGTATATATGCCCCAGAGTGGCATTGCTGGCTCTTGAGATAGAGCTATTCCCAGTTTTCTGAGAAACTGCCATCATTATTTCCAAAGTAGCTGTACAAGTTTGCACTCACACCAGCAGGGAGGAGTGTTCCACTTGTGTTGGCAGCTATTGGGGGCTGTGAATCTCCAGACCCTGAATTCCCTGTGAGCGGCTTGTTTTTTCCTATGCTTGCAGCCGCTCTGGGCAAAACTTGTTTTCCTCTGCTCTGAGCAGCCGACAGCTACTCTGAACGCGAGACTTTGTCTGCAGCTGCTCTGAGCACCAGACCTTGATGGCAAGCTGGTGGGCCGGCAGCTGAAAGATCCCGAGACCTGGGCGTGGTTAAGGATCTCTGTATAAGCTTTCTCTGAGCACAGTAAACTTGGCATTGGCATTCCTGTATCAAGGATGACCCGTGTCTGTGTCTCTGTCTATGTGTTTTAAAGTCTCTCAGCCCCGTTCCCGGCTCGGTTTCCAGCTTGTGGACTGTCTTGTCGTGGCACGGGCGCTACAGGACTGTCGGGTTTTTACATTCTTGCCAGCATCAGCTGTCACTTGTGTTTGATCTTAGCCATTCTGACAGGTCTAAAATGGAATCTCAGAGTCATTTAGATTTGCATTTCCCTGATGGCTAAGGATGTGGTATCTCGGCCATCTGAATTTCTTCTGTTGAGAACTCTCTGTTTAGATCTGTAACCCATTTTTAATTGGATTATTTGGTTTGTTGATTTCTAGTTTCATGAGTTCTTTATGTTTTGGAAATTAGCGCTCTGTCAGATGTGGAGCTGTTGAAGATCTTTACCCATTCTGTCGGCTTCCATTTTGTCCTGTGGGCAGTGTCCTTTGCTATGCAGAAGCTTTTCAGTTTCATGAGGTCCCATTTATTAATTGTCAGGTTTTGTGCCTGCTATTGGTGTTCTGTTCAGGAAGTTGTCTCCTGTGCCAATGCACTCAAGACTGTTGTCCACCTTCTCTTCTATCAGGTTCAGTGTATCTGGATTGTATTGAGGTATTTGATCCACTTGGACTTGAGTTTTATGCACAGTGATAGATGTGGATCTATTTGCATTCTTCTATATGCCGACATCCAGCACCAGTTGTTAAAGATGCTTTCTTTTTTCCACTGTATAGTTTTTGCTTCTTTGTTAAAAATAAGTGTCCACAGGTGTATGGATTTGCTTTTTGGTCTTTGGTTCGAATCCGCTGATCTATCTGTCTATTTTTATGTCAGCACCGTGCTGTTTTTATTACTATAGCTTTGTGGAACAGCTTGGAATCAGGGACGGTGATACTTCCAGAAGTTTTTTTTTTTTTTTTTTTTTTTTGGTTTTTCGAGACAGGGTTTCTCTGTAGCTTTTGGTTCCTGTCCTGGAACTAGCTCTTGTAGACCAGGCTGGTCTCGAACTCACAGAGATCCGCCTGCCTCTGCCTCCCGAGTGCTGGGATTAAAGGCGTGCGCCACCACCGCCCGGCTTTCCAGAAGTTTTTTTATTTTATTTTACAAGATTGTTTTAGCTATTCTGTTTTTTTTGATTGTTTTGTTTTTCCATCTGAGGTTGAGTATTGTATTTTCAAAGTCTGAAAAGAATTATGTTCGGATTTTGATGAGGATTGCATTGAATCTGTGGATTGCTTTTGGTAGGATGGCCATTTTTACTAAGTCAATCCTACTGATCCATGAGCATTGGAAGATCTTTCTATTTTCTGATATCCTCTTCAGTTTCTTTTTTTAATATTTATTTTTTATTATGTATATAATAGTCTGTCTGCATGTATGCCTGCAGTCCAGAAGAGGGCACCAAACCTCATTACAGATAGTTGTGAGCCACCATGTGGTTGCTAGGAATTGAACTCATGACCTTTGAAAGACTGGGCAATGCTCTTAACCACTCTCTCCAGCCCCCTTCCTCTTCAGTTTCTTTCTTCAAAGACTTGAAGTTCTTGTTATATAGGTCTTTCACTTGTTTGCTTATAGTTACCCCAAGATATTTTATATTATTTGTGGCTTTTATGAAGGTATTGTTTTCATGATTTCTTCCTCTGCCTGTTTATTATTTGCATAAAGGAGGGATACTGATTTTATTTTGAGTTAATCTTGTATCCATTCACTTTGTTGAAGGTGTTTATTAGCTGTAGGAGCTCCCTGGTAGAATTTTTGAGGTCGCTTATGTATAGTATCATATCATCTGCAAATAGCAATACTTTGACTTCTTCCTCTTCAATTTGTATCCCTTTAATCTCCTTTAGTTGTCTTATTTCTCTAGCTAGAACTTCAAGTACTATATCAAATAGATACGGAGAGACTAGACAGCCTTGTCTTGTTCCTGCTTTTAGTGGAATTGCTTTGAGTTTCTCTCCATTTAGTTTGATGTTGGCTGTTGGCTTGCTGTATATTGCCTTTATTATGTTTAGGTATGTTCTTTGTATCCCTGCTCTCTTCAAGACCTTTATCATGGAAGGGATTTTGTCAAAGGCTTTTTCAGCATCTAAGGAGATGATCTTGTGTTTTTTTTTTCTTTCAGCTTGTATGATGGATTATATTGACAGGACAGATTTTTGTATGTTGAACCACCCCTATATCTCTGGGATAAAGCTTGCTTGATCATGGCAGATAATTTTTTATGTGTTTTCTGCTTTGGTTTACCAGTATTTTATTGAGTATTTTTGCATCAATGTTCATAAGGGATATTAGTCTATAATTCTCTCTCTTTTTTTGTTGAGTCTTTGTGTGGTTTGGGTATCGGGGTAACTATGGGCTCAAAATGAATTTCACAATATTCCTTCTGTTTCTGTTTTGTGGAATAATTTGTCCAGTTTTGGTATTAGTTCTTCTTTGCAAGTCTGGTTAGAATTCTGTGGCAAAACCGTCTGATCCTGGGCTGTTTTTGGTTGGGAGATTTTAATGACTGTTTTTATTTCTTTAGGGGTTATAAGTCTATTTAAATTGTTTATTTGATCTTGATTTAACTTTGATAAGTACTAACTTTCAGGAAATCCCTCCAGGAATAGCCGCTGAACATGGCATACAATAATACAATACAATAATACAATACAATACAATAATACAATACAATAATAGTAGGCATGGCCCTTCCTATCAAGGCTGGATGAGGCAACCCAGGAGGAAAAGGATCCCAAAGCAGGCAAAAGAGTTAGAGACACCCCAGAGTTCTACAAAAACACTAACCTATCAGCCATAACATATATGATATCTCTGGGAGGTCTGCTGTTTTCCTGAAGGGAAATGGAGGAGGAACGTATCTAGAGGAGAGTAATTTAGGGGACGCAGGGGATGATGGGAGAAGAGAATGGAGGGAAAACTGCAGTCAGGATGTGTTGAAAACAATAAGAAAAAAATAAAAGATAGATCTTGTGGTTTTTGAAGATTGGAGATGCTTTTTTCAAGTTGGTTCTGTGCCTGTATGATCTGTCTTGATGCTGTAAGACTGAAGGAGCTGTGTGTATATGGGCTGGGGAGTGGGATGGCTCAGTGTGTGAGGAAGGTGCTTGCCACTAAGCCTGATGATCTGCATTCAGTCTCATAGACTCACATGATTAGAAAGAGGAAACCAATTTCTGCCAATTGTCATCTGACCTCAACACATATGCGGAAGGATGTCTCCCCAAATAAATATATTAACTAAAGCAAATAAAATAAAAATTAAAAAGGGCGAAGAGGGGAGAATCATCAAGGAATTTGTCTAAGAAGAAATAGGCTTATGGAAATACTTGAAGCATTAGAAAGTTTCTAAGGCATTTTAGGCAGAGAAACTGAGTGGTTAGGGATGCAGGAAGAATCTTGGAAATAGGTTGCCATGCTTATTTCCAAGGAACTGTGAGAAAGATTTGTGAGATTTTTTTTTAATTCTAATGTTTTCTATTCTTCTTCTCTAGAATGTGTAGTGAAAACGTTCTGTGATTGGAACTTTGAGTCTTTTGTTCTAATCCTGGTTCTGCCACAAATTAGGTAATCATGTCAAGGCATTTATCTTCTCTAGATCTTCATTGTATAAGAAGTCAAGTGGATTAAGATTGAAACTACATTGAAAATATAAGTGTTTGGATCACAGGAATTGTTATAGCAATCTGAGTTGAAGCAAGATTAAGTATGGTAGAGTTTTTGTTGTTTTGTAGTGGTGAGAGATGGCTTCTCTGCATAGCCCTGACTGTCCTGGAACTCGCTCTATAGACCAGGCTGGCCTCAAATTCAGAGATCCACCTGTCTCTGCCTCCTGAGTACTGGGATTAAAAGTGTTCACCACCACCCAGCTGAGTGTTGCTTTGTTTTGGTTTGGTTTTTTGTTTTTTTTGAGTCAAGGTTTTTTTGTGTAATAGTCCTAGCTGTCCTGGAACTTGCTCTATAGACCAGGCTGGCCTCAAATTCAGAGATCCACCTGTCTCTGCCTCCTGAGTACTGGGATTAAAAGTGTGCACCACCACCCAGCTGAGTGTTGCTTTGTTTTGTTTTGGTTTTTTGTTTTTTTGAGTCAAGGTTTCTTTGTGTAATAGTCCTAGCTGTCCTGGAACTCACTCTGTAGACCAGTCTGGCTTCAAACTCACAGAGATCCGCCTGCTTCTGCCTCCTGAGTGCTGGGATTAAAGGTGTGTGCTACCACAACCCAGCTGGTTTTAATCTCTAAGTAATTGTGATTTATATTCATAGTGTTAGAAGATTCATCACATTAAAGATCTTTAGTACTGATTCCTGCGCCTCCGCTCCGTCCCCCGCGGGTCTGCTCCGTGTGCCATGGACGGCATCGTCCCAGACATAGCAGTTGGTACAAAGCGGGGATCCGACGAGCTCTTCTCCACGTGTGTCAGCAACGGCCCCTTCATCATGAACAGCTCGACTTCAGCAGCCAATGGAAATGATAGCAAGAAGTTCAAAGGCGACAACAGGAGCACGGGGGTTCCATCCAGAGTCATCCATGTCCGCAAGCTACCTAGTGATGTCACTGAGGGCGAGGTCATCTCCCTGGGGCTGCCCTTTGGGAAGGTTACCAACCTCCTTATGCTGAAGGGGAAGAATCAGGCCTTCATTGAAATGAACACGGAGGAGGCTGCCAATACCATGGTCAACTATTACACCTCAGTGGCACCCGTGCTGCGGGGACAGCCCATCTACATCCAGTTCTCTAACCACAAGGAGCTCAAAACTGACAGCTCGCCCAACCAGGCGCGTGCCCAGGCAGCCCTGCAGGCCGTGAACTCTGTGCAGTCTGGAAATCTGGCCTTGGCAGCCTCTGCTGCTGCCGTGGATGCTGGAATGGCAATGGCAGGCCAGAGCCCAGTGCTCAGGATCATTGTGGAAAACCTCTTCTACCCAGTGACCCTGGACGTGCTGCACCAGATCTTCTCTAAGTTTGGTACAGTCCTGAAGATCATCACATTCACCAAGAACAACCAGTTCCAGGCGCTGCTGCAATATGCTGACCCTGTGAGCGCCCAGCACGCTAAGCTGTCGCTGGATGGCCAGAACATCTACAACGCCTGCTGCACGCTGCGCATTGACTTCTCCAAGCTCACCAGTCTCAATGTCAAGTACAATAATGACAAGAGCAGAGATTATACTCGGCCCGACTTGCCTTCTGGGGACAGCCAGCCTTCTCTGGACCAGACCATGGCGGCAGCCTTTGGTGCGCCCGGCATAATGTCAGCCTCTCCGTATGCAGGAGCCGGGTTCCCTCCCACCTTTGCCATCCCTCAGGTCGCAGGTCTCTCTGTTCCTAATGTCCACGGAGCGCTAGCCCCCCTAGCCATACCTTCTGCTGCTGCCGCTGCTGCCGCTGGCCGCATCGCCATCCCAGGCCTGGCAGGCGCAGGGAATTCTGTCCTTTTGGTCAGCAACCTGAACCCTGAGAGAGTCACACCCCAAAGCCTCTTTATTCTCTTCGGCGTCTATGGTGATGTGCAGCGGGTGAAGATTCTGTTCAACAAGAAGGAGAATGCACTTGTACAGATGGCCGATGGCAGCCAGGCCCAGCTGGCCATGAGCCACCTGAATGGGCACAAGCTGCATGGGAAGTCAGTGCGCATCACACTGTCAAAGCATCAGAGTGTGCAGCTGCCTCGTGAGGGACAGGAGGACCAGGGCCTGACCAAGGACTATGGTAGCTCACCTCTGCATCGCTTCAAGAAGCCGGACTCCAAGAACTTCCAGAACATCTTCCCACCTTCAGCCACTCTGCACCTTTCTAATATCCCGCCCTCTGTGTCAGAGGATGACCTCAAGAGCCTCTTCTCCAGCAACGGTGGTGTGGTCAAAGGCTTCAAGTTCTTCCAGAAGGACCGCAAGATGGCACTGATCCAGATGGGCTCCGTGGAGGAGGCAGTGCAGGCGCTGATTGAGCTGCACAACCATGATCTGGGCGAGAACCACCATCTGCGTGTGTCCTTCTCAAAATCTACCATCTAGATGCACGTGGGCCTGCGACAGCTTCCACCATTCCAGAAAAAGCCACTTTAAAAGCAGCTGAAGTGACCTTACAGACCAGAGATTTTATTTTTTTAAAGAGATCAGTTTACCTGTTTTTAAAAAAATTAAATCTAGTCTACTTTGCTGTGGCGGGAAATGGCTTAGGCCACAGAGGCCCAGTCAGGCCCGGCACCATGCCTTGAGGAGCTCAGGCGTGAGGCCACAGCGGTGCCCCCGAACACAGCCGCTTTCTCGTGCCTTACAAAACCAGCCCACTTGCGGCCACACACTCACCCTCTCAAGCCACCAAGTCTGTCGCTAGACCTGCCGGTGAGCCGAGGCCTGCACTACAGGCCCCTATGCCGTGCAGGAACCGTGGCCACCGCCCCCACCCCTTATAATCAAGTGACATGATTCTCCCATGTCCCTGGCCTGCCCAGGAGGCCAGGCCATCCTCAGCTGCCTAGCCTCATGTGACCTTTGTATTCTGTTCTCTGTGGTCACAGACACCTGTGCCTAGCAATATTTCCACTTGACCAAATACCCAGATCTTTTTCCATTTATAAGAGATAGAGTTTTAAGTAACTTTTTATAGCGATGATACAGTGGTATGTGTGTACTCTTTAAGCTTCTGTGTCCCTGTGCTCATCCCCTCCTTCCTGGTGACCAACTTCCGGGTAGGGCCCAGGCCAGTGCTGCCCCTGCCTGGGGAAAACAGCCCTGAGACCATTGGGCTCCTACCTTCAAATTTTGGACCAAAGTTGTTTTTTTGCCTGCCTCTGACTAGGCCCAGGTGAGGGGCTGACCTCCAGGCCTTAATGCCCCTCGCGATATGCCCATGTCGTGCCTAGCCTGTCTCTAGGGGAGGGGTTCCCTGGACCTTGGTTCTGTGAAGGAGTGGCAAGAGTGTACATATTTATGATTTTTATACCTGTGTGGGGCTGAGGCAGTGCAGCAGTTTTTTATGGTGACAGATATATATTTTGGTAACAACTACAGGCTCAGTATTGTCCCAGGGCCAGCCCTGGCTACATTCCACCCTGTCCCAGATGGTATGTTGGGAAGTTTCCATTAAAGCAGTTTTCTAACCTGAAAAAAAAAAAAAAAGATCTTTAGTACTACTACTATATCTGATGGTGCAGAAAAATTCCAAATTTGATGTTTACTTGGACAACTAGTGAATTTTTTTAAAGGTCTATCATTCACAAAGCTGTGGGTTCAATCATACTACCATGTACACACAGACAGTCATTAGTCATTCACTTGGTGTGGCAAATAGTCCCAGCTACTCAGGATACAGAGATGGGAGGATCACTTGACCTGAGAAATTTGAGATCAGTCTCGGTGATATAGTAATAGCCTATGTGTATCGTTCCTCCTTGCCCTCCCCCACAATTAGTAATCATTGGCTTTCTGGGGTTGAAATCACTTGTACCATGGCATAATCAGCTTCAGCCGGGCTTAAAGTTATGTGTCACAGAAAGAATATGGATGTCAGTAACAGTCTGACCTAGGTTTTTTAGGTCTGTGGCTCTGAGCATGACACCTTTCTTTTGTACATTTGAATTTCTTTATCTATAAGATTGAACTTAGAGTGCCTGCATAATCAGGTTATTGGTGTAGGAGTTCCTTCTGTTTGTGTGTTGCTTTTATTGGTTAATGAATAAAGAAACAGCCTTGGCATAGGTGATAGGACGGAACTTAGACAGGTAGAGAAAACAGAACTAAATGCTGGGAGGAAGAAGGGCAGAGTCAGAGAAGCTATGGATCCTCTGCCTGAGACAGACACCAGTTAGAATCTTTTCCGGTAAGCCACTGCCATGTGGTGATATATAAATTAATAGAAATGGGTTAAATTAAGATGCAAGAATTAGCCAATATAAAACTAGAGATAATGGGTCAAGCAGTTTTTTTAATTAATACAGTTTCTGTGTGGTTATTTTGGGTGTAAGCTAGCTGGGCGACTAGGACAAACAAGCGGGCGTCTCCCTACAGCAACTGGTACCCAACGTGGACCCTACAACAGGTTATGATGACATAAGAGGCTAGATCATATTTTGTGGTTGCCTAGTGTGAGGTTGATGGATAAACTAGCAACTTGTATGCTAGGTGTGCTGGAAGAAAATATCATCAGAAGACAGCATAAAACCATTCCTTACTCTGGCACATCTGGAGTTAACTGTATCTGTAGGTATAAATATGTTATAACACTTTGGTTCCTTTGCCTAGAGATTAAATTAATACTTTGCTGTGCTTTCTGCTTATTTGTGCCTTTGTCCTTATGTGACCTCATGTGTGACATGAATATCAACAGTGATTAAACTCTTTCTACATCCTACCAATTTTAATGTATTGAAACTCTTGTTACACTCCACAAAATTATTATTACTTTAGAACATCAAGACATATCAGTTGAGCTAGGTATGATGGTACATACCTTTAATGTGAGCAAGCACTCAGAAGGCAGAGGCAGGCAGAGCTCTATGAGGCTGATGCTCATTTGGCCTACATAGTAAGTTCCAGACCAGCCAGAACTATATAGTAAGACCCTGTCTCAAAAAAACCAAAGCAGCAACGACTACAATGGCAAACAATAGGTCTTCTGAGTTCAAAGACATTATCAAGATCTATAGACTGTAGAACCAAACAAGTCTGGGCTTTTCTCTTTCTAGCTATATGACTTTGGAGATAAATGGCCTCATAGGATTTTTTTTACATATAAGTGAATTAATGCATATAAAGGTATACTGCTTTGCACATAGCACATAGTTAGGACCTGTTAGTATTGTCATTAGTATGTAGTGCTATGCACCAGCATGGAGCCAATAACAGTGGAGCCCAAAATGCAGCGATAAAGTCTCTGTAGTCAAAGAACTTAGTCTGGTGGAGCCAGTGTACAGGTAACTTTGGTATGCTTCATTTACACCAAATAGAGCGTGTGCAAGAAGGGTACGTATTAGGCTGTCTCTGTTTCTATTAAAAATAGTGCTGTTTGGGGAGTGTGCTTGGTACCAGAAGTGATATGTATTCTGGAGTTAGGTCAGTTTCCGTTGTTTCTTACTCAAATAGCTTTGAGGCCAGCCATCCTTTTACAGCTTAGTTTCTCTGTTTTTAAAATAGGGTAAAGTTTTCACCCTTGACTAATGGAAATAATCTCTGTGGGTTTCTTCTGGGGAACCCTGTGAGAAACCTCCCTTGTGGAAGCACTTGCCTTTCTTAAGATGCTCCTAAGGGGAGAAGAAACAAGAACTGTGAAAGGGGGGTGTTATGCTGGACCTGGGGGTTTCTAGCACCCACTTTGGGCAGTTTACAACTGCTTGCAACTCTAGTTCCAGGGGATCCAGTGACCTCTTCTGACTTCCACGGGCATCTCCATGCACTGATGCACAGGAACACATTCAGCATACACACAACATGTAAACAAATAAGTAAATGTTTGAAAAAGTTGATAGGTGAGGGTGTGGAGATCTGGCTCAGCAGTTGAGAGCAGTGGCTGCTCTTCCCGAGGATCCGGCTTCAATTCCCAGCACCCCTACAGCAGCTCACAACTGTCTGTAGCTCTAGTTCCAGGGGATTTGACACCCTCACACAGACTTGCATGCAGGCAGAACATGTCCATAAAAAAACTGATAGATGAACTAAGATTTCTATTTCCACTTCTAAATACTTTCATTCATATATACCTTACCATGATTGTTGTGATGAGATTATACAGGTAGAATATACACAGTACATAGCTACTGAATAATTTCTTTGTTTTTTTTATGAAGATCTCTGTTATGGCTTCAAGCAGAAACCAGAGATTTAGTATTATATTAAATAATTAATATAGTGTACATCAAGGAATAGTGTGTTGATTTCACAACTTAAGGGTTGGACAGTTAGTAGACATGTGTACAAGCACAATCATATTCTAAGCTGATATACAATTTGCTTGTTTTGTTGTTTTTAGCCAAAGATAATCTAAAATTTTATCATCATAAATTAGGCACCATCCTTCCTGATTTCTAATCTTGTTAGATGCATATAGATCAGTTTCTGGGTCATGACATGTTCTCTTTTTCTTCTCTCCTAGGTCTTTCAGAGCCTGGAAGACCACCATTTGGAAGTGGTGGCTTTTTTCAGAGAAAATGGCTTTCATGGTCTTCTTGCTCATGACTCCGAATATGCGCTCTATAATATTCCATCTTACTACAGTTCCCATGCACTGAAGCTCAGCTGAAATGGGAAGAACCTCACAACCAACCAGTTCCTGATGCAGGAAGTGGCCAAGCAGCTCGGTTTGAAGCGAATAAATTTCCCCATATTTGCTGCACTGCTTGGTAGGTTGTCTAAGCCAGAGAATCCAGAGTTTGGTAAAGTTTCTTCTTGCATAGATAGGATGAGCAGACTAGAGTGGTTTAGCCTGGCAGTATTGGGTTTGCTTTTTTAGAGACTTCATGCTGATTTGGGATGTAGCTTAGTTGTTCGTGTACTTGTTTAGCATGCATGTGTTCCTGTGTTCAATCCTAGAACCACACACCTGGGTGTAGTGTAACATGCCTATAATTCTAGCACTCAGGAGGTAGAAACACAAGGATCAGAAATTTAAGACCATCCTTGGCCACATAATCAAGGCCAACCTGTGCTATATGAGAAAGACCCTGTCTCAAAAAACAAAACCTGAAGTTCTCAGACCATATAATACTGTAAAAAAAAAGTAGAAATACTTTTTTTAAAAGAAATACTGAAAAGCAGTAGACAGGGGTTCTTAGCAGATGATCTGAAAAACTTAGTATGTTATGAACCTATTAACTTGTGATAAGAATGTGAACATATAAATGTCAGTTACAAATATGAGAACATTTTTTTTTGGCTTTTTTGAGACAGGGTTTCTGTATGTAGCCCTAGCTATCCTGGAACTCACTTTGTAGAGCAGGCTGGCCGCGAATTATATTGCAGAACTTACATGCAAAGTCCAATGTTTCACTAGTCCAAGTTATCTTTTCTTCTCTACTCTGATTATTAGCATTTCTTTTTAAAAATCTAGATTTAGACCAGGAAGCTGTGTGGACTAGTTCTGCTCTCGGTCTTTTTTGTTAGGAGTACTTTTGAACAGTATTCAGCATAATTCATTTGCAGTGAAAAGTCCATATCCAGGGCTAGTACCCTGCCATTATCATTCGCGGAACTTTCTCCCATCCCTATCAATTCCTCTATCCACACACCCACTGGGTTTCTTTTTTGTTGTTTCATTTTTCATCGGGATCTCACTGTGTAGCTTCAATCATAAGATCCTCCTGCCTTAACCCTCCTAATGCTGGGATTGTAGGCATGTGTTGTTACATCCAACTTTCAGGTTTTCTTTTAAAGATGCAAATTTTTTGTTGTTTTTTGAGAAGGGTTTCTCTGTAGTTTTGGAGCCTGTCCTGGAACTTTCTCTGTAGACCATGCTGGCCTCAAACTCACAGAGATCTGCCTGCTTCTGCCTTCCGAGTGCTGGGATTAAAGTTGTGCACCACCACTGCCCAGCAAAGATGCATTTCAAAGTAAATTGCAGAATTGATATTTGGAATTGGTTTTCCAAGTATTGACAGTATGAACATTAATAGACTGGTATAGTTGTGACCTGTAAGCACAAAGAACATCACTTTGAATAATGTGATTGAATTAGCCTACGTTTTCAAATTAGATTTTGTGCAATTATCACTGAAGTCCCGCTTCCCTGGATTCATTTTCCTCATCTCAGAAATGAAAGTAGTTATAATCCCACAGTGTTACTCATGAGGCTGAGTAAAATGAATATGGAAAGTGCTTTGAACTTGTCGAGTAATCAATAATTTCTATTATAAAGGCAGCACAGCTAGGTAACAGTTTCCCATTACCTGTGATAATGGGTAGTGCCATGCAGTTGAGAGTCTGACAGTCCTATTTTTTTGTTCTAGTATAAGCCTACCTAGGGCCAAGTCACTAAGCTTGTTCGAATCTCAGTTTCCTTGTCTATAAAATGGAGATAAAACTTTAAGATTTGATCATTATAAAGGAGATACTCATGGTACAGAGTAGATAATTAGTACATAGATAACTACTTAATTACTTAATTTAATTAATTATTACATTAAGAATATAGGCTTACTGGGTGTTATGGTGCATGCCTCTAATCCCAGCACTTGGGAAGCAGAGGCAGGTGGACCTTTGAGTTGGAAACCAGTTTGGTGTATATATCAAATCTCAGACCACCCATAGATATATAGTGAGACCTGTCTCCAAAATAATAATAATGATAATAATAACATAGACCTAATTTGGCATGGTAGAGCACATCTTTAATCCCAGAACATAAGAGTCAGAGAGAGTCAGATCTCTGTGAGTTTGAGGCCAGCCTCGTCTAGAGAGTGAGTTCCGGGATAGCCAGGGCTACACAGAAAAACCCTGTCTCAAAAATAAAATAAAGAGAATATGGGTCTATGTGTAATTCAGTTATTTCCTCTCCCAGAGGATCCTCTTTATGACCTAAAAGATTTAAGCAAACTATACAGTGAATAAATGAAATGTCTATTTTATAGGTAACCACATTCTACCCGATGAAGACTTGGCTGCTTTTCACTGGAGCCTTTTGGGACCAGAACATCCTCTTGCATCACTTAAGGTAATATGCCCTATTTTGCCCCTGTACAATTAGGATGCATCAACTTTTGATTGAACTTTGATGGTGTAGAACAATTATCTTTCATTAGATTTTTTAAAGTCTTTGCTTTTAAAGTCTTTTTGTTTGTTTTTGAGGTTGTATTTTAATTACACTTCTTCCTTCCCTTTCCTCCCTCTAAACCCTTCCACATATCCCTATCCACTCATCCATCAAGTTTATGGCCCTTTTCTTTTCATCAGTTGTTTTTGCATGTACACATATATTTGTATATACATATATATTTCTAAATATAATCTGGTGAGTCCATATAATGCTACCTGAATGTCTGTTTTCAGGGCCGACAGTTTGGCACTAGATAACCAATTGGTGTGCTCTTTCCTTGGGAGGATCACCTCTTCCAGTCCTAGCTTTACTCACTTGCCTCTAGTTCTCTGTGTAGGGTTGAGGACTCGGTGGGCTTTTCCCCATGCAGTTTGGCATGTTCCTTGGTGTCCTCTTTCATTAGGTTTAAATTATAATACTTAGCTTGCAGTGGAGACACTGATTAGGAAGGTGGTTATATTTGGCATGTGCTGATTACTATGATATTCCAAAATGTGGGAAACTTGACAGCATAATTTGTGGTAGTGTGAGCTCTGTTCACACTCTCCCCTTAGAATAAAGTAAAACTATATTTTACATGCAGATAAAAATTAGTTCTGATAATATCTATAACATAAGAATTCATACAAACTGGCAAAGAAAAATGCCTCAATAGTGACAAAAATGAGTAAAAGACTGAGTCAGAAAAATTGACCAAAGCAGAAATACAGTGGCTAATCATTTGACTAGATGCTCAACCTCACTAGTGACCAGACATGTACATCAGATGAGTGATGTGACCATTTTTTTAATAGTTTAGCAAAAATTAAAAATGGAATTTACTGCTACGAAATCTATAGAAGAATCAATGCCCTTTGGCACTTGTGGCAGTGTAGTAGGAGGCCACTTATTCATTTCCTGGCTGCCCAGACTCCCGAAATAATCACACAGAAATTATATTAATTGCAATACTGTTTGGCCAATAGCTTAAGCATTTTTCTGCCTAACTCATACCTTAAATTAATCCATTTCTATTAATCTGTGTATTGCCACATGGCTGTGGCTTACCTGGTAAAGTCCTGTCCCCAGCATCTGCCTCTGGTGGGGTTACATGGCTTTTCTTCACTCTATCTTCTTTCTCCCAGCATTCAGTTTAGTTTTCCTTTCTAGTTCTATTCTGCTCTATCACAGGCCAAAGCAGCTTCTTTATTCATTAACCAATAAATGCAACACATATACAGAAAGATGGGTTAATTTAAGATGTAAGAGCTAGCCAATAAGAAGCTAGACCTAATAGGACAATCAATGATTTAATTAATACAGTTTTGTGTAATTATTTTGGGTCTGAGTGGCCTGGGAAAAATGAGCAACTTCTGCCTATAGTTCTTTCTCCTGCATCTTTTTTCCTTGCTTCATTGGTTATTTCCCATTTGATGTATAAGCATGATCCTTTTCAAAATTTCTGTGTATTTTTCCATTTAAATATATTTATTTCCTATGCATGGGTGCTTTGTCTGCATGTATGTCTGTTTACTACATGCGTGCATAGTGTCTGCAGCAGCCAGAAGTGGGTATTACATCTCTTAGGACTGAAGTTACAGATGTTTGTGTGCTGCTATATGAATGATGGGGATTGAACTTGGTTCTTCTGGAAGAACAGCCAATGCTCTTAACCTCTGAGCTATTTCTATAGCCCCAATCCTTTTTCAAAATTGGAGATAAGGCCTGATACCAACTAGCCTTGAACTAACTCAAAAGTCTCTGACTTCAGCCTCCTGGGTTCTAAGATTATAAGAATATGCTACTATGGATGGCTGTGTATGATTCAGGTTTGAAGATAAAACCCTTTGTGTGTGTGTGTGTGTGTGTGTGTGTGTGTGTGTGTGTGTGTGTATCACTGGGATAACAGGTGTGTGTTGGCAATATCTGACCTTTTATTCAAGTATTAGGGATCTGAGTACAGGTTTTTGCATTTGTACAGCGAGCACTTTGTCAATTAAGCATCTGTCCAGGCCTAAACCCACTGCTGACCTTACCCCTGGCCACTTAAGCTATTGCTCTATTTTTCTTCTTACAGTATACTCTTCCAAAGAATTTTCTGGGGGTAGGGGTGGGGATGGTTCCATTGATTCTTACCTGCTACACAAACATAAGGCATTTGATTCCCAGACATGAAAAACAAAAAGAAGGGATGGTGGCTCATGCTTATAATTCTAGCCCTGGGGAGATGGAAACAGGCAGATTCTTAGGGTTCTCTTGTCAGCCAGCCTAACTTAACTGGTGAGTCTGGGTCCTAATCAGAGATCTTGTCTCAGAATACTAAGTGGATGGCTACTGAAGAGTGATGTTGGCCTCTGACCTACACACACACACCACACACCACAGGGTTGGGGGTGGGGAGGCTGTACTTGAGCTGTTTACTATCCTCCTGCCTCTGTAATCTGATTTGCTGAAACTACCCTTAACAACATTACCAATAAATCCAATGGTCACCTCTCTGTTTTCATTTTACTTGCCAGTCTCCTAAACACTCAGCTGTCATTCCAACACGTTTGTTGATAGTTTTCATAATGGCCTCTTAAAAGTATGTGTTCAAGTTGGAGATGTAGCTCAATGATGGAGAGCTTGCTGAGCACATGTGAGGACCTGGGTTCAATCTCTAGTACTGCCAAAAATGTGTAAGGTTTTAGGAACTTTGAAGGTGAAACTAAGATGGCCGTTTGAGGGTAGTTAGATAATTTGCACTGTGTGCAAAAAATTACTATGCCACATGCTTTTAGTGCTTTAGAAGAGTGTAGAAGAAAATTTGTTCTTGGGTCTGAAGAGATAGTTCAGTTAGTAAACTGCTTGCTGCATAAGCATGAGGACCTGAGTTCTAGCCCCAGTACCCACATAAAAAGGCAAGATGCTTTGTGCTTGTAATCCCAGTGCCAGGAAGACAGAGAGAGGAGGATTCATGAGGCTTGTTGGCCAACTAGCCTACCCTAGTTGAGGAGCCCCATGTACCATGATTTACTCTGTCTTAACAACAAGATGAACCACTTCTGAGGAACAATAATCTAGGGTGACCCTTGGTTTCCCTGTGTATGTGCATCTGGACCCCCCCAAACACATGTTTTACACACACACACAGGTACACACATATGCATACATGCACACATATATACATATATGCACAGTATACAGATTTGTTTTTAAAAATTGTTGACAGTGCTCAGTGTAGATAGACTTTTCTTTGCCACCCACCCATTCCCAAATAACCGATACGGAGACTTAATATTAAATATAAATGCTCTGCTAATAGCTCAGGCTTATTACTAACAAGCTCTTAAACTTAATCCATTTCTATTCATTTACATTTCTGCTATGTGGCGTTACTTCTCTTTCATCTTGCACATCCTGTTTCTTCTCTGTGTCTCGCTGGCAACTCCTCTGACTCCACCCTTCTTCTTCCCAGCATTCTCTCTGCCCCCAAATCCTGCCTAGCCATTGGCCAATCAGCTTTTTATTAACAATGAGGGTAGTACATATTTATAGTGTACAAAGATTGTTCCACAGCAGCTTGGAATTGAACCCAGAGCCTTAGACATGATAGGAAATCACTCTACCTCCATACTATATCCCCAGCTCTAAGATTTGTTCTTTAGCATTATGAATCTGTCTTATTTAGTCTGAGCAAAAAACCTGATAGGGTAGGGGACTAGACTATTTGGGATAAATAAGGAGACTATTAAGAGGAGGAGGATGAGAGTGTAATGAAGAGGTGAATATGATCAAAATTTATAATATTCATACATGAAAATATCATAATGAAACCTACTCTTGTATAGTAATATATACTAATTTTAAAAGAGGATTCAGAGCATGTCACTTTCCTATTTAAAATCCTATAATGACTGTTTATGTCACGCAATCCTTCTCATAGCTTGCCATCCCCAGAGTTTCCTAGCCCCTTAGAAGGTTCATACTTAACATTCTCTCTACTTAGATTGCCTTTTTTTCTTACACAGCTATTTTCTCACTCATAAAAGTTTTGTTAAATGTCATTTTCTCAATGAGGCTTTTCCCAATCCTATTATTTAAAATTATATAGGTGTGCATGTACACATACATACATATGCACATCAGCTTATCCCAACCACATTTAATATTCCTGCTGCCATGAAGGCAGAGTTCTTGTCTTTTGTATTCACTGCTATGTCTCTGGTACCTTAGGACAGTATCTGACCATTGCTTGACAGTAACTGTTTGATACAGGGTCTCTGTACATAGTCCTGGCAGACCTAGAACTTAGTATGTAAGTTGACCAAGCTGGCTTCACATTCATAGAAGTTTGCTTAAGCATCCAAGTGCTAATGTTAAAGGTGTGTGCTATCACACCAGACATAGTAACTTTAAAAAAATTATTTTTTATTTCTACTTAATTTTGTGTGTATGGGTGTTTTACCTGCTTGTATGTCTATGCATGCCTGGTACCCATGGAGGCCAAAAGACAGTGGTGGATACCCTGGAGTTAGAGGCTTCTTTTAGCTGTCATATGCATGCCAGAAACTGAACCTGGGTCCTCTGGAAGATCAACCTGTGCTCTTAGCCTCTGAGCTATCTCTCTAGCTCCATCAATAGCTGGTTTTTGAGGAATGAATGATGCAGTTTATTGGTAAAACATTTTTCACTCCAAATGACCCCTTATGACTCTAGATGTCTATGAATCTTGCTTTTTAAATTCAATTTTAGTTATATATATATATGCATGTAGGGGGATATATGCACATGAATGTATTTTGCCCACAGAGGCTATAGGAATTAGAGTTACAAATGGTTGTGAGCCGCCTGGTATGTAGGTACTTGGAATTGAACTCAAGTCCTCTTGAAGAACAATATGTGCTATTCACTGCTGATCCCTCTCTTCCACCCCCAACAAAATGAATTTTATCAAAAGCCTTTTGAAAATGTATACCATTGACTCGATCATTATAGCGTAAAGAACTATAATTATTAGACTTAAAGAACTCTAAATGCGGTAACAAAACCTACAATTCTGCATAACATGAAATATTTTCCCTTTATATTTATTGATTTATTCATTCATTATTTGTGTATTTATTCTTCTCTCACATAATACATCCCAACTGGTGTTTCCCCTCTCTTCACTCCTCTCAATATCCCCGAAACTTCCCTCTCCCCAGGACCTACTGCTCCTCTCTTTCCCTTCAGAAAAGAACAGGCCTCCTAGGAAAGTCTTAAAGCCTTCCATCAAGGCTGGAAGAGTCAACCCAGTAGGAGGAAAATGGTACCAAGAACAGGGAAAAGAGTCAGAGACATCCTCAACTCCCTCTGTTAGGAGCCCCACAGAAACAACTAACAACCATAAAATATATGCAGAGCACCTAGCTCGGACCCATACAGGGTCCGTGATTGTTGTTTCAGTCTCTGATTCCCTATGAGCCCAAGCTGGTTGACTCTGTGGGCCATGTTCTTGTGGTGTCCTCTACCTCTCTGGCTCATATAGTTTTTCCTCCCATTTTGCCACAGGGCATCCTGAGCTCCACCTAATGTTTGGCTGTGGGTCTCTGCATCTGCTCCCATCAGTTGCTGGCTGAAGCCTCACTGATGACAGTTGGGCTAGGTACCAGTCTATGAGTATAGCAGAATAGCATTAGGAATCATTACATTGCCTTTTTTTGAATATCACAAACATGGGCAAAACAATAGATTATTCCATTTATTCACAGTTGTTTAATGATTTAGACCAACTATCAAGATTTTGCCATGCGTTCTGGATTTTCTTGTTATTGCCAATATGACAAGTTATTTCATTTGCACATTCTTTGTGTATGTCTCTAAAATGTTTGCACGTTACCCTACATATGCATATGGACTTTATCACTTCTAGAAATTCCCAAGTTCACAGCTGTGGGTGCTGGGAACCAAACTCTTATATTTTTGGCTGTGAGCCTAGCCTTTAACAGTGTCTTTGACTTTGGTGTCCCTTACTGATCATGTCTTTTCTAGGTCCGAGCTCATCAGTTGGTTCTTCCACCCTGTGATGTCGTGATCAAGGCTGTTTCTGAGTATGTTAGCGCCATCAAAGACCCCTCAAATCTGGATGTGGTTGGGAAGGATGTTTTCAAACAGTCTCAGGTGAGTCGGCCTTTCCCTCCCCGAGAATCAGCAGCTCTCTGTATTTTTCATTTAAAGACTTGATTTTGTGTACACACGTTTGCAGCTGTCTACATGCCATGCCACGGGTGTGGCGGGCAGAGGACAGTTTGTGGGAATCAGTCCTCTCCTTCCATCATGTGGGCTGTAAGAATCCAACTCATATTGTCAGGCTTGGTGGCAAGTGGCTTTACTTGCTGAACCATCTCGCTGGCCTTCACCAGCTTTCTTACTCTCGCTTGCTACACTACCAAGTTCTCTGTTTTTTTCAGAGGTCCCCAGCTTTCCCCCTGCTTACTGGCTAAAATTCTAAAATTTCCTTTAAAAAATGTTCTGAGATCTGGATAGAAACGTTCCTTTGTTTTTTTCCTACTGATAATTAATATACTACAAACATATTCCGAAAAATTAAAAAATAAACAAACTGCCTAAAATCTTATTCCCCAGAACCTACTTATGACAGCTAATGCTCTTATGTGTCTTCTTTCGGTGTCATATGCTAGGGGTCAAACCCAGGGCTTGGCACGTGCTAAAGCAGCAGTCTACAATTAAGCCACACCCTCAGCTAATTTTGATGCATACATGCTTTTAATTATGTTTCATTTATTTACTGCATGTGTAAGCTATGGTGCCCATGTGCTAGAGGACAGCTTGGTCTTCTTCTTCCACCATGTAGGTTCTGGGCATTGAACTCAGGCTACCAGACTTGGTGGCAAGTGCCTTTACCCACTGAGCCATATCATTATTCTTAATGTGTATTTTAACATAAAGGATGTCTTACTGGAGAATAAAGTAGATAATGAGAAAAAGAACTATTTAAAATGAGTCTCCATAAAATAAGAATCCTGGCTAGTCTCTGGCACTATAGGACGGCTTCTAGATAATGTTACATGGATGGACTCATAAGGTATATAATAGCTTGAAAATATCTTTTGTCATTCAGCATGATGTTTTTAAGATTTTTTCAAATTGGGCTAGAGAAATGGCTCAGTGGTTAAGAGCATGTACTGTTTGTGTAGAGGACCTGAGTTCACTTCTCGGCATCCATGTTGGGGAGCTCACAACTGCTTATAAGTAACTCGGGGAATCCAACACTCTCTTCTGGCCCCTAGGGCTATTTCCATGTATGTGGCATACACACACTGTTTTTCCCCACATAACACACATGAAAAGAAAAATTTTAAAGAAAAACAAGAATTTTTAAGTTGTTTGATATTGTATGTGTGTCAGTAATTCATTTTTATGGGTATATGAACAGGTCATTCATCCACACATTCCTTAAAGAATATTTAGGATATAAACTTGAGTGGTTACAAATAGAGCTGCTATGAACACTTGCATACAAGCTTTTGTATGAATGTAGTGTTTCATTTTCATAGTGTAAATATCTAGAATTGAGATTTCTAGAACATATGTTAAGTGTATGTTAAAATTTATGACAATGCCAAACCATTTTTCACAGTAGTTATCTCTTTCCTTGCTAGTGCTTGGTCAATATTGTAACTTAAATTTTCTGCATTTTCATATGTATGTATGCATGCATGTGTGGGGAGTAGGCATGCTATAATGCTTATGTAGTGGTCAGAAGACAACCTGCAAGAGTCTGTTCTCTCCTTTACCATGTGGAATCCAACTCATGTCAGGCATGGTGGCAAGCATTGTCCTGCTAGTCCTGATTTATTTCTGATAGTATATTACCTTGTCCAGCTAGGCAATATGCTACAACTCAGCTATACCCACAGTGCTAAGCATAGTTTTAGTTTGTATTGAAAAGTGGCTCATAGAAACCTTTGGTTTTGTTTATGGACGAGGACTCACCGTGTAGTCTGGCTGTCCCCAAACTGGCCATGTAGACCATGCTGTCCTTAGACTTGCACTGATCTCCCCGTATCTGCCTCCTGAGTGATGAGGTTTCAAGCATGTGCCATCACATATAATGAATATTTTTTCTTGCACATTTGTCCTAGGATTTCTGTGTAGGTTCTAGGGATCAAACTGGGGTCCTCATGCTTACAAGGCAGTGACCTTACTGACTGAGCTATCTCTTCAGCTTCTCTTTTTAAAAAAGTCAAATAATTGCATATTTTACATTTATAGCTCTAATTAATTTGTGTAAAATATTTGTCTTTTGTTTTTCATGTGATTATCCAGGTATCTGAATATAGTTTGTTGAAAGGCTATTTTTTTCTCCCTTGAATTGCCTTTATGCTTTTATTAAAAAAAAGTCAATTGACTACATATGCATGAGTGTATTTCTGTACTTTTGTGGGAGGGTTAAAGTGTGTGTATATTATTTTACCAGAAGTGCACCATCTTAACTACTATAGCTCAATAATTCTAAGCAATGATTCTTCTAATTTCGATCTTATTTTGTCTTTGTAAACTCCTCTGCCTTTCCATATAAATTATAAAAGAATATTGTTTGTATCTACAAAAAAAAAGAAATCTTTCTTGGATTTCAGTTGGAATACCATTAAATGTATGAAAGAAATTAGTTTATTTTTCAAGTACTACTGATTAAACCTAGGATGATATGCTGTGCCAGCTGCCTGTCATGAGGTTATATTCCCAGCCATTTCTTTTAAGCTTTTCTTTTTAGATAAGGTCTCACTATATTGCCTTGAATTAATTTTGAGCCTTAGCTAGGTCTTGAACTTGTGATCTTCCTGTCTCTGTCTTCTAAGTAGCTAGGATTACAGGTCTGTACAGCTGTGCTCAGTTGTCAATATTTGAATCTAGTAGCATGATAAATCTATTTTATTTATGTCTTCCTTGACATTTTTTTAGATTTTTATTGAGCTCTACATCTTTCTCTGCTCCCCTCCCTGCCTCTCCCCTCCCCTTCAACCCTCTCCCAAGGTCCCCATGCTCCCAATTTACTCAGGAGATCTTATCTTTTTATACTTTCTACTTCCCATGTAGATTAGATCCATGTATATCTCTCTTAGGGTCCTCATTATTGTCTAGGTTCTCTGGGATTGTGATTTGTAGGCTGGTTTTCTTTGCTTTATATATAACAGCCACTTATGAGTGAGTAATATGATATTTGTCTTTCTGGGTCTGGGTTACCTCACTCAAAATAATATTTTCTAGCTCAATCCATTTGCCTGCAAAATTTAAGATGTCATTTTTTTTTCTGCTGTGTAGTACTCCATTTTATAAATGTACCACCTTTTCCTTATTCATTTTTCAGTCGAGGGGCATTTAGGTTGTTTCCAAGTTCTGGCTATGACAAACAAAGCTGCTATGAACATAGTTGAGCACATATCCTTGTGGCACGATTGAGCATCCTTTGGATATATACCCAAAAGTGGTATTTCTGGTTCTTGAGGAAGGTTGTTTCCTAATTTTCTGAGAAATGGCCATACTGACATCCAAAGGGGTTGTACCAGCTTGCATTCCCACCAGCAATACAGAAGTGTTCCCTTTTCCCCACAACCTCAGCAGCATAAGTTGTCATCAATGTTTTTGATCTTGGTCATTTTTACAGGTGTAAGATGGAATCTCAGAGTTGTTTTGATTTGTATTTCTCTGATGACTAAGGATGTTGAACATTTCCTTAAGTGTCTTTCAGCCATTTTAGATTCCTCTGTTGAGAATTCTCTGTTTAGGTCTGTACTCCATTTTTTAAATTAGATTATTTGTTTTTTTGATGATCGATTTCTTGAATTCTTTGTATATTTTGGAGATCAGCGCTCTGTCTGATGTGGGGATAGTGAAGATCTTTTCCCATTCTGTAGGCTGTCGTTTTTGTCTTGTTGACCATGTCCTTTGCTTTACAGAAGCTTTTCAGTTTCAGGAGGTCCCATTTATTAATTGTTTCTCTCAATGTCTGTGCTGCTGGGGTTCTATTTAGGAAGTGGTCCCCTGTGCCAATGAGTTCAAGTGTACTTCCCACTTTCTCTTCTATTAGGTTCAGTGTTGCTGGCTTTATGTTGAGGTCTTTGATCCATTTGGACTTGAATTTTGTGTATGGTGATAGATATGGGTCTATTATCATTCTTCTACATGTTGATATCCAGTTGTGCCAGCAACACTTGTTAAATATGCTTTCTTTTTTCATTTAATTTTTTTTTTGCTTCTTTGTCAAAAATCAGGTGTTCAAAGATGTATGGATTAATATCCGGGTCTTCTATTCAGTTCCATTGGTCCTACTGTCTGTTCTTATGCCAGTACCAGGCTGTTTTTAGTACTGTAGCTCTTTAATAGAGTTTGAAGTCAGGGATTGTGATGCCTCCAGAAGTTCTTTTATTATACAGGATTGTTTGGCTATCCTGGGTTCTTTTCTTTTCCATATGAAGTTGAGTACCATTCTTTCAGGGTCTGTGAAGAATTTTGCTGGGAGTTTGATGGGCATTGCATTGAATCTGTAGATTGCTTTTGGTAAGATTGCCTGTTGGGGACCCTTCCCCAACCATCTCGGTTATAGATGACGCTGGGTAGTGCCACAGAAATCAGGACACAGGGGATGCAGAGTCGGAGATACAACTGCATACTTTATAGCAAAGCCAGTGCTCCTTTGTAATCTCGAATCATGATTCAAACTAGGTTCCCATAGTACTTGAAAATAGTTGCATAAACTAATTACTTCGTTGCAAATAATTTCAAGAGCTTTGTGCCCTAGTTAATCTAAACAAAAAGCCTGGTGTTATGGGAATAACTTTGCTGTTATAGAATATGTAAAAACACTTCAACAGAAGACAAACCACAACCTAATCAGAGCCTTTGAACTGCAGTGCACATCTGTGTTCTCAAGGACTGACCATTGGCAAGGCACTCTACTGATGGGAGAGGTTTGCCTCCTCCTGACTTGGTTTGCCAAGCCTATCAGTGAGAATGCTACCTCAAGTCTCCCCTGCACAGAGTTTCTGTGCCGTTCAAAGCTAGCCCTCCACAATTGTCGACTTTTTTTTTTTTTTTTGGTTTTTCGAGACAGGGTTTCTCTGTGGTTTTGGAGCCTGTCCTGGAACTAGCTCTTGTAG